ATGTATGTAAATGTAATCATGTTAAAATATATGTTGATCATTGTAGTTTTATTTTACAATTGAAAGAAAAAAAATCTAATAAAAGATTTGCCATTTATTACTTTCAGGAGACAAAGGGAGGCTGAACAAAAAATGGTTGAAGAAGTAGCAGCCAAAAGGTTGGAGGAGTTAGTAGCTCGGAGAGTAGAGGAGGAGCTAGAACGAAGGAGGGATGAGATAGAAGCTGAAGTTTTAAGGAGAGTAGAGGAGGCCAAGCGCCTCATGGAACAACAGATGCTCGAAGAGCTTCAGGAAAAGCGCCGGCAGCAGGAGGAGGATCAAAAGAAGCGAGAGGTAGAGCTTTGTGAATTGTGCTTCAGCGGGATATTTTGCTGGATTTGTCAAGCCTTGGGCACAGGAGCTCTGTTGTGTATTCTGATAGGGAGGGAAGGACGGGGGTTTCAAGCTAAGGAGAATAAATTTGGGTTAGCTGAAAGGAAGAGGGAGGTCGCTAGAGGAAGCAAGGTGGGCAAGAGATGTCCAGGATTATACCAACGAGCATCCCTGGTGACTCCAAAAGGGCATACTAGGAATGGGCTCCATATGGTCAGGGAAAATCTCCGTTTTATCATTATTTTATTTATTTTTAATAAAACTAGATGTTAAAGAAGGGAAATATCCTGGGAGTAGATGCACAAAAAAGAATGTGGTCATTGGCTGTCTGTGCCATTCCACACATCAAGGAGGGACTTTCCATCAACTTAAAGAGTTAGATTTTGCTGCATGTGGACTGTAAGCTGATAGGAAGAAAAAAAGCCACAAAGAAAAAAAAAATTGATTTAGCCTATTCAGTCGTCACTAATTGAAATTATTAGGTAAAAGTACTGTATAATGAGGATAATAGAACAATAAATTTCCATTTTGCATGAAGACTAACTCACACTCTTTCAGCTGAACTTTCTGTGTTTTGAAAGTGAAATGTGAATTTGAGGCAATAAAGTTTCCCAGAGACATGATGTACAAACTTTGTAAACTCTGGTATGTGTTGCAGTTTGACCACATTGCCCCAGACAGTTTGTTGAATGCAGGAGTGAAAGAAATATGCCTTTAATCTCTGTCTCCAACTTTATTTATCGTCTGGCAAATATGTATATCCCTGTACATTTTTTTATATACATTTTTTTTGTTTTGTTTTCTTTTTTTTGTTTTTGTTTTTGTTTCCTTCATACTCCCCAATACATATGTGCATGTGTGTGGGTGCGTGTGCAAATGAGAGTGTAATCAGTTCATTCTTAACTGTCTGGAAACACACGAACATAGCAGTGTGGCAATGAGGCATTTTAGTGGTGAATCACTCTAAACAGAATAGACATATTATTGGCGGCTTGCAACCAAGAATTGTCAGCTGCGGATTTTAGGCCAGAGCTGTTCTAGGAGTGGATTTGGCGGCATCCATATGGTAACTATATACAGGTATAGTGATTTTTATAATGGATGCATCTTAAATCCATTAAGCAGGTAAGATTTCCATTTTTGACGTGTCTTTGGATGACACAGATGATGTCGCACTTGAGTAGCTCACATTTTGTTATGTAAATGATTGCTGTACTGTACTAGATTTATAAAGCAGTGGGAAGCTTGCCATTTTAATGGGTTTAGTTGTATCTTCAATCTTTCAGCAAAGGCTCAAAATTTATCTTCATAAGTAAAGTGAGATTGTATTGCCTTTTCTGTGAGATCACTTGTGTCTGTGTCTTAGTGTTCTCAGTAAGCATGTTGTTCCTATACATTGGTCACGTCTTTTTTTAATTTTCACCTGTAACTCAACATGCTTGCTACTAGAAAAATTTAACTCTGAATTAAGTACTATTTTTAAAGTCTGTATTGTCATATACTATACCCTTGCTTTTGTACCCAATGTTACTATTGATGTTTGACATGAATTGTACTTTATTTATTCAAGTGGTTCTCTGCCAGTTGCCTGTAACCTCCCACTTTGAAATGCCACATACATGAAAATCCTCTTCTCCATTATGCTACATAAAAATGTCTTTTTAAACGCTGATTAATCTTTTTGAATAGCTGTAGGCAATTTCCACTTTTAACTAGGTATCCACATGAATTTTTACATTTGGTGTTTGATAATGTGCATTTTTAAGCAAAACTTATTTACTTTGATTGAAAAAATGAAAGGTTTCATTGATATTACTTGGGTTGAAAGAGTGAAGAGGCTTCTGGCAACTGGCTTTTTAAAAAAAATTTTGAATTGACCTCACCTGATGCGTATTTGACGCCTCATTCTACTTTCTAGGAGGAGGAACGTAAACAGCGGGAGGAACTGGAGCGAATTATGGAAGAGAACAAAAGAAAAATAGAGATTGCCCAGATGAAATTGGTAAGTTCTGAAAAGCTGAGGTGCAGTGGAAAATGAACCAGTGAGAGTTGTTGATAATGGAATGAAAAAAAATTAGATTGGAAAGTGAAAAGCCAACCAGAACAAAAATCAGCAAACCATTGGCTCTCCTTTCAGGCTGAGCAGCAGCTACAAATGGTTGAGGAGCAGCGAAAGATTGATGAGGAGCGGCAGAAAATCAAGAGGGAGCAGGAAAAGCGGACACGTGAGGAGCAAAAGATCATCCTTGGGAAGAACAATGCGCGGCCCAAGATCTCCTTCTCTATCTAAAGCTAGATACCCACATGCATGGGGTCTTTTATGTTGTAGGTCCACACTCTTTCATATGATTTCGATTTGTTTTTTTAAAGTTTTTAATTATTTTTTTTCCTTAGTCATTATTGCCATCATATACTTTATCTCTCTTTTTCGTTTTTTGTTTTTTACAGGATATGTTTCTGCTATGCATGAGTGTGATTGACTTAACTGATAAGGGTGTGGAGAGCCACACACTTTGTGATTGCATGAAATCTTGGTTTTATTTATTGTTGGTGGTATTATTATTATTATTATTATTATTATTATTATTATTATTATTATTAATGTTCTTATTGTTTTTTATATTAACATTATTATTATTTATTTATTATTATTATTATTATTATTATTATTATTATCAGTCTTACAGTTATTGATATTATGAATATTATTATTACTGTTATCTTTATCATTTTCATTATGGCTTCTCATTTTTTCATTATTTTCATTACTTTAGTATTGATTTATTTGTGCTATTTCAGTGATGCTCATCTCTTGTTTTTGGAATATGCAGTTGCACGAGTGTCTGGCTTTCCATTAAACATTGTAGAAAATAAGCTAGTTAAGGGTCTTTCAGAACCTGGGTTCTTTTGATGTCATTGCCTACAATGTGAGTGCTAAATGTTATGAAAAAAGTGGAAGTAGAAACTACTGCCCTAAACCCCTACTTCTTTTGCTTTGAGTGATAGAAGGCAAAAACTAAGCTATAATCTGCGATTGTGTTATAATCGTAGTGGTGAAAGTGCTAACGGTGAGAGAATATAATTCAGAGGGTAATGAACACTACTATAAGAAAACCCCCTGACAATGGCTCAGGCCAGCACTCAGAGTAGCTAGGACTAATGTTGCATTAGGCAGCCTTGGTTCATACTGATGTATTTCAGTTGCTTATAGTATAACTGTATCCTAATCATCTGCAGATCATTTCATATGTCCTTCATCCCATGTTTGTAAAGTCATGATCTATCACCCGAGTAAGTGTCTTGCCTCAGTGGCAGTGGACATGAGAAGAAACAATTGTATATATAGCACATGGATCACAGATCATGTACAAAGTTGTACTTCTTTGGTTGGAGTAGAACTTCAGCTACAACTTTTCACCTGCGCTGGTGAAAACTTTTCCTCATCAGTCTCTAGAGAATGGAAATAAATACCATTTGTATTGGATGTGTTGTTTTTTTTCTTTTGTAAGAGTACAGCCCATTAGTTTTAGGAAATGATGGCCAATGTCCTGATTATTAATTGCAATGTTATCAAGACTGATACTTATTTTTTGTTTTTAATTTCACATGTGTTCAAAGAAAAACGCACTAGATCAGTAAATTAGAGTAGTTCTCAGACTATAATTTGGCCTTTTATACATTCATTACAGTATCCTGTGAATTAAACATATTTCTTTTCATGAGGGGTATACAGTAGATGATGCCATATAAGTTACAAAATTGTTTAGAATAGAAAAGCAACAATTTTGTAGATGATAGAGAATACTTCCACAAGTAGAAGCATATTAATTTTATTTCATTTTTTTGGGCTGCATTATTGATGATAATGTAAAAAAAAGTGAGTCATTTGAATGTTTTTCACAAAGATGAAATAGATTATTATTTGTCTTTTGATAAACTTGAATATAAAGTCACTGTATCCAAGAAGTATTTTATTACCACAAAACCCACTCTATATTAATCATAGATGACGACCTTGATTAAAATAGCCAAAACGATGGGATGCATTTATATCAAATTCATAGACATGTCAGTGAATCCCTGGTGGATCATATGGAATCTAAGGCAATTTATCAAGAGTGAACTTTGATCTTTTGGCCTTTGAGGAAATCCATAGGGATTTTTAGATAATGTGTGATAACCAGTCTGAGAATATCTAAGTAAAGATTCCACATTAACCAATTTAAAGAATTTAAAGGGATTAGGGACAAAATGAAAAGTAAAACAAAAGCAACTCTCTCTCCCAAAAACAAAAATCTCCCTTCTCTCTCAGCTCTCCCTTCTCTCTCTTCTCTCTCTCCATCTCCCTCTCTCTCTTCCCCCACTCTCTCACCCCCCAGTCTCTTCTCTCTCCTATCTCCCTCCCACCTCTCTCTCTCTCCTACTCTCCCTTCCCTCTCCCCGTCCCCCGTCCCCCCCCACTTCTCCCTCTCCCCCTCCCCCGCCCCTTCTCCTCCCTCTCCTCCTCTCCCCCGTCCCTTCCCCCTCTCCTCCCTTCCATAGTATGTCCACTGTATATAGATGCATATAGACCAGATATGACTGACATGAAAAACTTTAGTATATAAAATACAAATAAAACGTTTACCCATTTCTGCTGATTTATTTTATTCATGTTCTACACTACAATAATCTTCAACTCTATTCTTGTTTACACGTAAGCATCAGCTGACAATAGCTAGATTTGTTGTTAATCGGATTCTTCGTAATCTTCTATAACAATTTACCTCTTACACCTTTCTTCGAGCAGAGGATGCGAAACACCATAATGTATTTCAAGGATAATTAAAGACAACACTGCAGAAAAATGAAGGAATTAATCAGGCACCCTTGAATATGTTACGTGTAGTGTCAATGTAATTCAATGTGGGACCAACGTGGAAAAAAGTATCGCTATAACTATAATAGTTACTAAATCGTCTTGAATCGCAGTGCATAATCTTGTTTAATAACATATGTCAGTACAGTTTAGGACAGATTAACTCAAGCAGTAAGGGCAGAGCATTAAGCTAAATTGTTTTAAGTATTGTAAAGGATTCGCCAAGGTAAAATCGGCAAATCTGTGGTCCCCATCACCAATTCAAATATTTTAGGCACTTGCTATCATGGAACTTAAACAAAAAACTTCACACATCTATGCATGGCACATTGCGATAAACTAACTGAAGAATTGACTTACTGTCTTGCAATACATAATTTTTTTTTACTAAAATACGACTCTGTAATACACTCAACGACATAAGTGTCACTATCGTATACGAATTCACATTATAGAGAGTACACCGACGTAAAAATGACATTCAAGTGACCCTCCAGCTAGTGCATGAGAGGACACGAAGGCCTTGTGAGATCAGAGGGCACCAAAAACCCATCCTGATAATTGGCAATATCGTTGAGGTAACCCACTGCATCGTTGTACTGGTCAGTGGGCACGATATTGCTATGGGTGTGCAGGCGATGGAGATGGTCCACGATGGTGTCAGCTGGGACTTTATGGCCAACCGGGTCCTCCGAGATGGTCGCCATTACCAGCTGCAGGGCTTCCGCGTCGGACTGGAAATACAAGTGTTACTGTTGGTGGTTCTTTGGCTCTGAGAAATCTCGAGGGATCTAATGTTTCAGTTAATCAAATGAAAGGCTATTTTTCGTTTAACGAATTTTGATAGATACGTTTATCTTTTTTTAACAGTCTTTACATTTTCGGATTTATATTGTAGCATCTTTGTCAATAAAGAGTTTGCATTTTCCAGTGTGGCAATTTTGTCAACAAAAAGCTACAGCAGTAAAGGTATTGGAAATAAATATAATTTATACGAATTTCAATTATACTAACGCTAATCACGATGGAAGTTATAGCAAAATTCATAAAATGGGTATAGAGGGTAATGATTTATAATATCAGTATCATTAATAATGTTACTCTTGATAGGATTATCATTATCATATTTTTTTCCTCGAATAATTTCATTTTTAGTTATAACCCTATAATCCCAATTATTATCATAACGATCAGCACCAGCCAGCCCAGTGGCAAGCACCACCACCACCACCTTCAAAGTCGTGAACATTCTCGAACGTGCGATAAGATTACGTCCGTGGGTGACCTTACCTAACTATATACAAGGTCTATTTAAGTACTTATATAGACCTTGACTATATACACCCTTCAAATACCATCCAACTACTACATAACCGCTAACGTATAACAGCCATCCCATCTCTTTCCGATACTATACCTCCTATGTTGCTTCATGACCTCGGTTTGTGTAGCACATTAATTTCACCTCTAACTCTTAACTCACGTGGGTGGCCAGTCCAGCGACGTGGGTCAGTATGTGCTCCCATTCGACCGCGCCCTTGTCTCCGCCCCCGGCCCGCTTCCACGCCTCCTGGGCCGTCGCCTCCTCCACGCCCATGGCCTCGCACACCTCCTGAAGGGCTCCCCATTCTATGCTGCCTTCGCTGCCCAGCTGTATGGGGGAGAAGGCAGGGCTCACTTCAAGAGACAGTCGCCATTCGAAAGCAGGGGCGTTGCAGACCAACCTTGGTGCGAAATTGCGTTTTTTTTTTTTTTTTTTTTTGGGGGGGGGTAGTAATGCAGTACATGATGAAAGCAAATTTACGAAACACTCAGCGTGTGCAGTATAAAAGAATAAATATACATATTCACATACTTTTACATGTACAAGTATATATATATATATATATATATATATATATATATATATATATATATATATATATATATATATATATATATATAATATATATATATATAATATATATATATATATATATATATATATATATATATATATATATATATATATGTGTGTGTGTGTGTGTGTGTGCGCCGCGCGCGTGCGTGTGTGCAAAATATCATCACTGTCAAAATGGAATGTTCCGTCAAACCTCCCCATCGCTCGGCTGCGACACCTCATCGAAAGAGAGAAAACGGTAACCGCGACGAGAACTGAGCAGAGACTCATGAAGACAAGGGGAAAGGTTTGATCCGCAGCAACTCGAGGGGGTGTCATGGCGTCCCACAGGGCTATTTTGATGATTGTTCAATGAAAATACAAGCATTAAAATCATTATTTTCTATCCTTTTTGATAATTAAAAAAATCAAAATGATCGACCATATTCACAAAACATGTGACGTCATCAAAATAAACCCCATGTGCTTTTTCCAAAAATAGAATCAGACGCCATGACACCTCCTCGAGTTGCTACTGATCTAGCCTTCCCCTAAAGATAAAAGTAAGACAAAAAGGCAACAAAATCACCCAGACACCACTTGCCTGACGGTGCAGTACGCGCAGGATACCGGGGGAGATGCCGCCCTTGGACTCAGGAACCGGGAACTCGAGCCTATCCTTGACGGGGGGCACGGTGCCTTTCGCCATAGATCTGCAGTTATGAAAAGAAAAGCGAATTTATATATTTGAATTTTCGCTCTGAGGAATCTAGAGACAGACGGTTAGGAATAAAACTATTTCACCCTTTCCTATTACCTAAAAGAAAATCTAATCTAAAACACCGACCTAACTACACACAAACATATTCACACAAAAAACATCCTAATCTCAAAAAGAAAACACACCAGAGATTCGATAGGCCTACCGTAAAAATAAATAAATAAATAGCAAATCAACAAGAAATAAACAAAGAAATAAAAAATAAATAGATAAATAAGTAAATAGCACATCCTTCCATAAAACACGACGCTCGCCTATTCCTCACCTGAAGTAAGCGACCGACCAGGTGAGGAGGTCCTTCGGCTGCGTCCGAATGGCTGCCTTCGTGTAGTCCTTCAGGATCCTCGGGAGAGCGGCAGGGACTCTCGCCCCCGCACCGGCCGACGCCACCATACTGCTTCGGAAGAGGAGAGGAGCGAGTGAGAGTGAGGAAAGGGGAGGAATGAGGAAGAGTGAGGAAAGGGAGGAGATGGTGAGAGGGGGGAGAGAGTGAGAGGGGAGGAAAGGGGGAAGAGTAGAGGGAGGAAAGGCAGGAGCGAAGGAGAGTGAGGAACGGGAGGAATGAGTGAGAGTGAGGAAAGGAGGAGAAGAGTGAGAGGAGGAAGAGTGAGAGTGAGGAAAGGGAGGAACGAGTGAGAGTGAGAAACGCAAGACGTAAGGATAAAGGCAGATAAATAGATTAAATGATAGATGGATAGAAAGATAGACAGGTACATATGTAGACAGAAAAATAGATTGATGAATAGATTGATAGACAGGTAGGTATATACACAGATAAATAGATTGATGAAGAGAGAGAGAGAGAGGAAAAAGGGTCGTTAAGAATATACATAGATACGCAAACAGGCAGATAAGGAAATTAAAATTGATAATGTTACGAAAGATAATTATAATGAGCATCACAATTATCACTATCATTATAATGATACAGGTGTGTACCAGCAGTACTATGATACTACTACTACTACTGTTGCTACTGCTACTCCTACTGCTACTACTACTACTACTGCTACTTCTGCTGCTGCTGCAACTACTACTACGACTACTACCACTACTACTATTACTGTAACAGTAATAGTAGTAGTGGTAGTAGTACTACTACTGTTACTCCTGCTGATGCTACCGCTACTACTACAGCTAGTACTACTACTACTGCTGCTGCTGCTGCTGTTACTGCTGCTACTGCTGCTGCTGGTACTATTACCGCTACTACTACTACGACTACTACTACTGCTAGTATTACTACTACTACGACTACTACTACTACTACTACTGCTGCTACTACTACTGCTGCTGCTGCTGGTACTATCACTACTACTAGTATTGATAAAGATAATGATAGCAGGAACAATAGCAAATGGCAATAATGATAATGATCATAGAAAATTATAACATAACAATAATAATAATGATCAAGATAATAATCATTGCAATAACAATAATGATAATAAATATGATAATAACAATAATAATGATGGATGATAATAACAAAAATGATGATTGATAATAACACAAATGATGATAATAACAAAAATGATGATAATGATGATAATAATATTTCTATCACCATCATTAGTATTACTTTCCTTGTAATTATCATATAAATGATAATCATTATTATCTTCATTATTATCATAATCTTTGGTTTTATCATCATTATATTTATCATCAGTATAACATAAATGATAATGACTAGTATTATCGTTATCATATAATATTCTTCTTATTGTTATTCTTATTATCATTATCATAAACCATAATCATTATCATTACTGTATATTACAGTCATCACTATTATTATCATTATTAGCGCATTTGTTTTTTTAAACTATTAACCATCATTAATTTCACTGCTATCATTATCATTATCATTATCATCATTATCATTATTATCATTATTATTATCATTATCATTATTATCATTATCATTATCATTATTATCATTATCATTATTATCATTATTACCTGCACCAAGAAGGTTATGCTTTTGGTAGCAGGGGTTAGTTTGTTAGTTAGTTGGTTAGCAAGATAACTAAAAAAAAAAAAAAAAAAATATGGACATAGGTGTGTCTTAGCCCAACTTAGATGCCATTAAATTTTGGTGGTGATCACGATCCAGGAATTTTGTTAAAGATTTTCATTAGAATAGCGAAATGGGGAAACACGAACGCCACCAGTGTACTTGAGAAAGATGTGATTTTGATATAATTCTTCGTATGAATATCTTTATTGCCTTGGTTGAGGTATGCGCCCTCTGAGTGCTGCCCATTATCATTATTATTATCATTATCATTATTATTATTACTGTTATCATTATTAAAGTTATCATTATGATAATCATGGTCACCATCATTTTTATTATTATCATTATTTTCATCATCATTATTATCATTATCATTATTATTATCATCATCATCACCATGATTATTATTATCATTATCATTATTATTATTATCATTATCATTATTATTATTATCATTATCATTATTATTATTATTATCATCATTATCTATTTCATTATTATCATTATTATTATTATTATCATTATTATTAATATTATTATTATCCTCATCATCGTCATCATCATCATCATCATCATTATCAGTATTATCATCCATATTTTCATTGTTATTATCGTTATCATTATCATTATTCTTCCATTAACATTACTACCATTATCTATCACTTAAGTATTGCCATTATCTAAGAGTTTGTGGCAGTGATATTATGTTGTTGTGAATAATTACCATAAAATTCATTATATTGACGATAATAAGATTGATATAGGTAGTCATGCTATCAAGGTAATATTTATAATATAATGATGAAAGAAATTATTTGTCATGATGATGAATATGACTATGGTGGTGAAAATAATGATGCATGTGATAACAGTGAACATGAATATAGCAATAATAATCGTAGTAATAAAAATGATAATTTTAACTATTATCATCACATCATTATCATTATTCGCACCACGATGATTATCACTAAAATAATAATGAAGTCGATTTTCTACTTTTTTTTGCGCTACATCTATTCGAAGACATTTATGGAATGTCTCAGAAAAGATGTTACAAATACCAAGCATATTATATCGGTCAGAAGATAATCTGGCGCAGGTATGACTTCTCCAGTATATCGAAAAAAGCTGTTTCATAATTTTGTTCAGGAATCTATTGATTGTAAAAGTAGAGCAGGTATCGAATATTTATTGAAAATCGAATGCGTCAGTTTTTTGAGTGGTCAAATAAAACGCATTTGTGAAGATCTTATCGTATCCTATTGTTTTAAAGCAGAACTTGCATTAATTACATAATTTGTAAGAATAAACACTACGACCTATAGAGAATGTATGATATTTAAAACAGTTGATGTAATTATAAAAACGATTAGTTGACAGAATTCGAGTTTGTTTAATGGAAGAGATAAAATTCCGAAGGGTTATAAAAAGTACCAGCATATCTAGTAACGAAACCCGGTAACCTAAGCTTCCGTGAAAGTTCTCAAGTTCTCAAGTTCTCGTCGAGGGTTGAAGTTTCACACTGCGGTTGGTACGCGAGACAACTCTCTCACATGCGCTCTGTACTTCAAGTTCTGCAGTTAATCCGACAACAACAGCGGACATATAACCGAATACAAACAAAAACTATCACAACAGAACCGATAAATACCTCACCTGGACAACGAACAGGTAGAGCGGTTTCAGAACTGACTGATCCGGACAAGGCTGTAGAAGGAATGTGTGACGTCATCAGTCAATACAGCGCATGCCCGGTCTCGCTTCACCATGCACCGCCACCGTATTGTGCACCGATAACCACTATCAAGAGTAAATAT